TTGATAAAAAGGTGAACAAAGTATAAAAGTGTATTTTTTCTATCTAATTGATAAAAAGGTGAACAAAGTATAAAAGTGTATTTTTTCTACCTACATTGATAAAAAGGTGAACAAAGTATAAAAGTGTATTTTTTCTACCTACATTGATAAAAAGGTGAACAAAGTATAAAAGTGTATTTTTTTACCTACATTGATAAAAAGGTGAACAAAGTATAAAAGTGTATTTTTTCTACCTACATTGATAAAAAGGTGAACAAAGTATAAAAGTGTATTTGTTCTACCTACATTGATAAAAAAAGTGAACAAAGTATAAAAGTGTATTTTTTTTACCTACTTTGATAAAAAAAGGTGAACAAAGTAAATACTTCTTTAATATAGGTATCATCATTTTTGGTTTAAGATATCGTTCGTTAAAGTTATATGTAACTGAGTTTTAACAATTAGCATCAACATCTTTGTTTCCGCCCAGTTTCAAATTAAATATTCTCTTATTCAAGCATAGTGTGATGAATGATTAGACGAATTCAGTTAGTCAGCTATGATTTTAATGTCATCAACTATAAACAATTATTACCTGAAATTATAACATATATTTAAGAGCATGTCTACTTACTCGAAGCTCACACCAAGCAACTGATACCCCAGTAGCTGTATCCAATCCTTTGTATACAGTTTTGAAAGATCCACGTCCGACTTCTTCTTCAAACTTGAGGAATCTCCCATCTGGAGAAGTGCCGTTTGCCGTAACAGCTTCGTCTTCTTCTGGTGCTGACTCAACAGCACTATCATGTCTACGAACAACATCTCGTTTACTCACCACTATTTCTGAATCACTTTTAGCATCATTATCACTTGTTGGGACTTCTAAACACTTTTGAGTTAGTGCAAATGAAGTTTTCTTACCTAATAAAGCATCTGTATTAGATCTTTGTAATTCTGTTCTTTCTTTGTTGTCTTCACATTTCAGTTCTTGGCCGTTTTTGCTATCAGGAGTAGGAATCCTCGAACCTGAAGGCATACCAGACAAATGCAAGTCATCTCCTACAGCCATGTGTTTTGTGGCATTGTTACTCCCTGTAGTTTTGGTAAAAGAAAACCATGCCAATAAATGATCCTTAGATTTCAGAACACGGCGACCATTTTTCTTGTGGTCTAATCTTTCATCATTCGATATAATCAATTTGTTGTCGTCTTTCTTCTGTTGAGACTTCTTTACTTGTACTTTGTTCTCCACATTTTTTTGCCTGTAGTTTCTTGAAGTCTCTGGCTGGTGTTTAGGCTTAGTTTGAGAACGTGTCTTCAAGAAGGCCACACTACTAGTCTCCTCAGAAGTGTTCAGAGGTTCCGCCAAAGATATTTTAGTTTGTAGCATCTTGTGTTTTCTCGAACCAGGAGATGAGTGATCACCTTTCTTAAAGTCTTTAGCTCGGTCGTTTTGATTGGAACCCAATGGGGAATGAGAAATGTTAGAGACTGTACCTCTTTCTTCATCTCCTGATGTGGATAACAAACGCCGTTTGGAAACTGTGCTCTTTTTAAATATGCTAGTCTGATTAGCAGGTCGCAACCGGTCAAGTTTGGAGGTAACTTCCTGTTGAGCAGGTTTCAAAGAAAATCGATGAGTCAACCGCGAATGGAGAGACTTGGCGGGTGGAATAATTCGGGTGTCTTTACTATCTGAAGTGTTCACTTTTTCACTACCAGAAGATTGTCTATTTTTTTTCAGTTCTTCCATTCTAATTGCCAAGTACCCTGTCTTTGTTGGCTTGTGCAATGATTGAAATGTCCCTGAATTTACTTCTGAACACATCTGTGGCGTTTAAACACTAGTAGTGTCTTTCCAGCTAGAAAAATATGTATTTTGATTAATAAAACTCCAAAATCGCAAAACAGTTGTTTTCAGTTCTCTAAATTTGTTTACAATGTAATTTCTAAGTTTATTTTTTACTCTTCGAATGTGAAACCTGTCAGTGTTAATTCAAGTTAACAAATGTCATTCGTTTCTTTATCTTATAATTCCGCATAACTGAACCATGAAACGATATGTAATATATTATATAAATAGCACGGAACTTTTGAAACCTGTTTTAACTGACAAACAATATCAAATTTTCTGAAGATGAGAAACATGATAGTATCATTAACAAACTTTATGTTCCAACATACATTGAAACTCGTACAAACATCGTTGCATTACACTTGATATTTAGCGCAAAGCTATATAATGGGTTATTTGCGCTCTGTCCATCATGGGGAATCGAACCCAAGATTTTATCATTGTAAGTGCGTAAACTTACCGCGGACCAACATTGGAACTAAACATAATTAAGGCATACTGACATAATTGATCCGTACACGCACAAGCAAGTGATTACTATAAATATATATTATAATAATACAAGATATTTCAACCAATTATGAATATTACATTTTTTGTGGGGTAAAAAAGGAACAATGGCATGGGAAAAGATTATTGTCCCAGAGGTAAGGGGCTCACCACAAATTATGAAAGTTTTATGTAAAAATGAATTAAAATAACTCCAGTTTTTATCTTCACTTTCGAATTGAACAAGTTTAAACTCATTTCTTGGAACCATCTTCAAACGAACTTATATTTAAGGACAAACTTTACACAAATGTTGTAGTAAATGCGTGTTTATAAAAAATGGCAAAAGAACTGTAGTTTATGTGATATTACATCACAATAAGACTGATTTTTAACAGATCTCTACTGGTCCTATACGAAAAGTGTGTCATTAAAATGCTTTTATATTCTTCTTATTGGAAACGCGTACAAGGCCAGTAAAGATATTTGTTAAAACTTATTATCACTCTCATTGTGATGTAATAACACACAAACTAACGATCAATAGGTGGCGCTTCGACAGTATATGTATTATATACGATACGAAAAAATAATATCAACAGCGTTAAGTCTTGTGGTTGTGTGTCGTTTATTTAATTATTGCTAATGCAATGTGTTACACAAAATATAAGCTCTTATTGTTTTACAAAGTCACAAAACTTTTAACTCAACGAATTGAAACAATCAAATATAAAATTAGCTGCTGGACACCTGTTCTATATTTGGGTGAAGAAAAGCGTCGCATATAAAATATTACCTTCTTTCTTAAATTTCGTGTAAAACAACTTGAGGACTATCTGCGCTAGCCATCCCTAATTTAGAAGTGATGTATTAGAGGAAAAGCAACTAGTCAACGCTACATACCGCCAACTTTTGGGCTACTCTAATCGAATAGTTGGAATGGACCTCTTATTAAAATAAGACCGAAAGAGAAAGATGTTCGGTAATGGGATTCGAACTCGCAAATCGCTAGTCAAACGCCCCAAACACCAGGCCAAAATATTCCCGATATTAATCTTTAATGCGTTATAATTTAAAATAGCTTTGGAAAGGCATGATTTAAAATAATCTTCAGATGATTTGTTTGAAGCTTAAGCAAAGAAGTGTTTGAATGGACTACAAGTAAAGATTAAAATTAGAAATATCCGAGATGAATAATGAAAGTATATAAGGCCTAACATTAACGTTGTGTTTTACTCTTTTAGTACAGTGAAACTGTTTTTGGCCTAACCTTATCGAACGTGTTTTAGTACAATGAAACTATGTTTGGCCTAACCTTATCATTGTGTTTTAGTACAATGAAACTATGTATGGCTTAACCTTATCGATGTGTTTTAGTATATTAAAACTATGTCAGGCCTAACTTCCTGGTTTTGGTCCAGTGACGGTATATCAGGCCTTACATCGACATTGTTTTAGTGAAAAGTAGTAAGTAAAGGCATTTTTTTCAATATAACTTTTAAAAATACGCATTTAAAATATTTTTCGAAATGTTTTCTTTTCCTCACCATTAAGAACATGTTTAGTGTATACAGTTTTGATATTTTGGGGTCTTTTTTTTAAGGGATTGAATAATATTTGAAAAGTTTTTTTAAATTAAATTTATAACCAGAGACGTTGCTACGTGCTTAAAAAATCTGTGGTAAGAGAAAATTAGACTTTGGAAACAAACCGAAACAAATGCTGAATAAAACTCAAGAATTCTAAAAATTGAATTACGATACGCGCCGACTGTTCTAAGATGTTTTATTATATACGCACACACACACACACAAATAAATATACAACTATCAAAGTCATGCGATAATTCTAGCCCATTCAGAGTATTATCAGACCTTAACGTAAGTAATATATACACTAATTTTAAACTAGGCTCTATCAATTTTCGGCGAATTTTCAAAAAGTATAACATATATATTTCCTATTAAAAACCTTAATGTTTTGTTAAACTGGCCTGAACTAGAGGCTCTAATCATTTCCAACTAATACGTTAGCCATTTCCACGAGACTGTACATTTAATACTAAATAGAATTTCAGGATTATTAAAACTTGTGTGTTAAAACTACCTCTCAATGGAATGGTAACAGGATACATTCAAATTATTGGAACAGATATTACAAAACAGTCTGTCATATTATTGCCACATTTGTCTGGTGTTTCTACAAGTACTGTAAAATAAATCACAGTAGTTTCATTTCTGAACTACATCGTTTTTCCCAAATATATCCAGCAGTCTGTGGACTTAGGAAGCAAAGTCTAGTCAGAAGGTCCAGTTGGCTTTTGATGACTCAGTCTTTACTTTTGCTGGATTTCCTTTGAATGTTGGCCAAACTAACAAACAGTGTCCATAGCCACATCGGCCTTTGAACAGCTCGTACCTTCAAAACACATCTGAGTTTATTTAAACTTAAGGCGGATATTTTCCGTTTGGTGTGCAGTAATAAGAGTCAATGCGAAACTAATCACCAAATGCTTGACTCTTATCTTTGTGAATTTATATGGAGAAATAGAAACAAAGGTGAAGATTTATTTAAAATCATATTGTTCAATATCGCAGAATTCGCTAAATAAATATAATATAATGTTTTATTAGTAATTATATTATTTTATTGCATTACTGGTGTTATTTTCAAAACGATCTGTTGGTGGGCACCAAACGGAAAAGACTCCTTAATTTAACATGGGACTTTCTTACTTTGACCTCTGACTTAATTTGTGTTGCGGAATGTTCTCTTTTGTTCTAAACAATTAACTACATGATACCTAATAAGGTAGATGTAGTATACAGTAAAACGAATTGTATTTTAATCTATTCACCAAGTTTAGAAATACTAAAATGGTTTAATAACTGTACATACATATTCCAAAAAGGCCATTTAAAATTACATTCTATTTTTCTTACTTTTGCTTTACAGCTCACTAGATGTCATCTATAACAATTACAACATTCAGAACTAGTATTAGCTATTCTTTGAAGAGTAATATAGTTACGTTTAGGGTAGATTTTCTTTGCACACATATCTTTAAGTTAACACACAGGCTCTTAATTAAGGTTATAAGATTCTCAATACGGAACATATGATCATATTGGATAACAAAGGCTCAGCTGATAAATGTGCTTTTCATATTTCAAGCATATGGTTAAATGTTCATCAATTGTGTTCGAAGTTAATTTATCATTTATGTCCGGATTTTCTGAAACCTCCCTTTTCACACCACTAATGACTTTTACTCCAAACAAGTAATCCTGAAAACTTAATTCTATAGCACCTTTTTTAAACCCAGTGAGCAATTTGAAAAATTTAACCGTTTAAACTTAAGTTCTAACCAAGAAAGCAAAGTTTATGAATATTTCATCTCCCTAATAATTAATTGTGAAGTTAGAACTTCATAAAGATTTATCACTAGCCGTAACATGGTATAAGAAACAGTCTCTAAGTGCTAAAGAAACGAAATAGTTGGTTTATGGTTTGTCATGTTCCATAATTGAGAAAAATTATGTACATAAAAATATAGCAAAAGCTATATTTGTGCTTAATACAAAATTTACTGTTCATCTAAGATGTAAAACTTCTGTAGTGTTACATTGTACGTGATACTATAAACATTTTTTAATTTTATCGTTAATTTACGATGGCAGTTTGATAATTTCAAAAACAATCATTCATATTTCGTTACCATTAAAGCAAAGTACGTTCACTGATATTTTAATTAAGACAAACATTCTAGTGCTTAGCGTACTGAAAAATATTGTTAAAAATGTTTTTGTTTACCCACCTAACATAAAACACAGTAATCATTCTTAGAAGGCTGATTTGAGAACTCAGTCCTGAACGTGGTAGCCTAACCCTCGTAGACCGCATGAGTCACACTACTGTATAGAACGAAGACTATCCAATAGCCATACACGTCAGATCGTGTTACGTCTCCATGCGACGTCAGCGGATTAATACATTTTACTTTCAGGTTATTTATTTGCTGCATTGAATGAACAAGTACAGTGTCAATCTTCTTCAGAAGTTATTTATTATCGACTTCTTTGTTAACACATACAAGAAAAAAAGTTATAAAAAAGTAGGTTATGATAACGGGCTATTTGTCTTAGCGTATTTCTAGAACACGAACGTTTCGTAATGTTCAATGAATAGCGACATCTGAAAAACCAGGCGACATGGATGTTAGAAAGACAAGTTTAGCATTTGTTGTTAGAAGCTGATTAAACAGTTTACCAAAAACATTCTTTTCTTCTTTTCCTATTTCAGTATCTGGTGCTTCAGCTTCGAACGTCACGTTCATGCTACACACGGGCTAGACAGCTAGGTCAGAGACTAAAAAGCTTCAGGCAAATCTGACCATAATTTAAAACTAATGAGCAGAAGGGGGAGCAACAAGTTGGCAGCACCTGCCGTCCACACAGGTGCTCTTATCAGACCATCAGAGGTGAAATTGGTGAGAGTTTTCAGCATCACATTGTGGACGTGGGTCTTGGAGCTTTTTATCTGCAGCCTGGCAATTAACCTCCCCTTCCCCTGTTTAAGACAGCGTATATTGTAGACTTTAAACAAACACAAAACAAATTTTTACGCAGTGCCAAAAACAAAACCAAATGTAAAAAAATGAATACAATGTCTCCAATGTATTTACGTATGATATTTTATACGTAACTAAGGTAAATGTATACAATTTGAGTTCTAATTAGAAGAATGCAACTAAAGTCACCTTAGAATTGTAGGAATGAGACATAATTAATAAAATATTTGTGGACAAAGCCTATATCTTTTATTTTATCTAACACTTAGTCTTCTAGTGACTCAGTGGTAAGTCTGAAGACCTATAATGATAAAAACCGGGTTTCTATACCTCTGGTGGGAAGAGCACAGATAGCCCATTGTGTAGCTTTGTGCTCAACAACAATCTAACGTTCAATCAAAGAAATTACAAACGTCTACAGAAATTCATAATGGTCGTACTTAGTACTTGTATTCCATGGTTTCTCAAGACTTCCTTAATGAAGGATCAATTGATCTTTTAGTTTTCTTCATACAGCCTTTAAACGTTCATCGGATTTCTTTAGACTTTATGAAACAACATTGAATAATTCTAGAGTGATACAAAATTTCTGGCTGTAGCCGTAGATGTGAACTTTTATTTGGGTAAAAGTACAGTTTGAGTTCTTTTGAAAAATTCGCTGGTACGAAGTTATGCCGATAAAGATATTATTTATTTAAGTAAATGGTGAAATATCTACTTACATCTGTTTATTTCTCTAATTATTTCGAACAGGTTTCTGAAAAGTTCATACTGACAATTCCTACGTAAATAACAGTGAAACAAGTTGGTTATTTTACACTTATTCGATATTTTATCGGATAAGATTAGTGTATTTTTGTATTTCTAGACCCAATATCTGGACAGTTCCTACGTAAGTTACAGTTGGATTTTTTTATACTGCTCGGATAAGGTAGCTATATTTATGTCGTGACTCACACACAATACACAACCCATTACGATGAGTTTGGCCACTCCAACTCAATCAATTTTCAGTAAACACAACGCACCATCTTTCCATCTGATCGCTATGTCGTCACTCGACTTTAACTTCTATTTCATTGAATTTATGAAGTTCGCCGTAGATAGTCACAGAGATTAGTGAAATATATGTGTACGAGTATGTGTAAAATTTTGAGAAAACATAATTTCACATTAGAAGAATACATTAAGTTACATGGGTGTGTACGAGAAAACCATGCTACATCTAGGTCTAAACTAGTTTCCATTCCCACACTTTATTTCGTATTTCAAACAAGAGATGTGTGTGAAAGAAAACAGCATTTTAAATATATCCTGCTTTTGACACATGTATTATGTTTCATATATTCGAAAAATATTTCGAGCTCTTATTTCTAATGAAATGTGAGTAATCAATGAAAGGTGAACGACCGTAAAAGGTCAGTTAGTATTGTCATCTACCTTCCTACCAACGAATGGCCTTTTAAAAAATGAGATTTATAACAACAAAAAACCGTACTACAAACTTTCGTGGCATAGGTAAATGAATAACATCATAAGCAATCTGTGGTGTGGGGTAACAAAGTCAGGATGTTCTTTACTTTGTGTACGTAATAGCAAAGTCTGTGTTGTGGGGAAACAAAGTCAGGGTGTTCTTTACTTTGTGTACGTAATAGCAAAGTCTGTGTTGTGGGGAAACAAAGTCAGGGTGTTCTTTACTTTGTGTACGTAATAGCAAAGTCTGTGTTGTGGGGAAACAAAGTCAGGGT